CGTATAAAAATGGTGGTATATTTGAAGATTGAAATTATGTACTAATGGTCCCTGGTGTGCGACTGGCGCACCCACCTTGTTTAAAACATAATATAACGTACAATAAAAATTATTTCCCCTATTTTTGTGTTCATCATTCTTTCAATATTCCTTTGGAGGAAAGTAACTAAATATGGATTATTATCTCTAGCATGGAATACTAAAACGCCATCCAAAATAATTATTTAAAAAAATATAACTTTGAAATAAACCAAGCAAACTCGCAGTTTACAGATTTTCTGGATCAATTGAATTCATAAAATATTTTTTCGTTACAAACAATTTATGAAAGAATTTAAATATTCCACAACAGAGATACTATTGGTTACTTTTACCTACCTGTTTATGTATGCATCAAATTATGATAAAACGTCTGATATATTCAAATAAAATTATTATTCATTCATTCAAATTACAAATAAAAAGAGTAATTATTTTTTCTTTTCTGCTATCAATTTTAGTTCGGTACGTTATGTCGAGGCGTGGCAAGCCCTTGTTACAATTTAGAGGCGATACGTTTAGAAGAGCGTACGTACAACGCGACGGCAGAACTTCATGGATCTGTTCCAAAAGGCCAAATTGTCATTCAAGAGTCATCACCAACGAAGAAAATAATGTAATTATGTACAGAGCAGAACACGATCATTAAATAATATCCAGTTAACTACAATTAGTAATAAAGTATCTTATTATCTTTTAATAAATGTTTGATAAAGCTTAAACTTCTTTTTGACAAAAAAAAAATGTTTTCCTTAACCTTGTGTCCATCATTCTCTCGGTGTTTCCTTAAAGAAAAGTAACCAAATATGGAATATTGTCTCTAACATGGAATACTGATACTTCTTTCAAAATTATTCTTTAAATCTGCTAGCAGATATAAAGATTTGCTACATCAATTGAATTTATATTTATGTTCTCATTAAGAAAAATTGGTTAATTTCCTCTACTAGTTTATACATATATCAACCGTTTTCTTATATTTGTGTTTAGTTGTAATATATTTAATTTTCTTTGTTAGTCTAATTTTGTGTCTTTTCTACTATCAATTTCAGTCAGGTTCGTTATGTCACGGCGTGGCAAGCCTTTGTTACATTATAAAGGACAAACCTTCAGAAAAGCTTATCTACAGCGAGGCGACAGGATTAGATGGGTCTGCTCCAAAAGGAAAAACTGTCATGCGAGAATCATTACCACCGATAAAGATAACGTAATTTTATACAAAGGAAAACACAATCATCTACCAACGAGTTAGAGAAAACAAAATAGTTTATCTATTGCTTTTTTCTAAGGCAGGGGAAAAACGGACAATAATTCTAATATTATACGGGTGAAACAAAACGATATGTGTGCTGACTATATAGTACTGTGTTTTGTTGTACGGGACTCTATAAGTTGGTCACTCCACCTCGTAGTAGTATGCAGAAACAATACAGAGTTATATGGTTACCCATATAATATCTAATATTACATAAAATATAACTCTGTATCGTAACGATAAGTATCGTTTTTTATGCCTATATATTTTCAGTTTTTTCGCTTGCCCTAGAAACAAAGTATATCTATTTTTAAACCAGATACATTTTTGCGGAGTTAGCTCAGAAAAAGAATCGCCAAAAGCACGATCTTTCGTTTTCTTGACATTCATAGTTTAGATTCTGACATAACCCCCTGAATTTGTTCCTGAAATGTCTTGGCCTCCATCGGCTTATGTGTATATCCTTCCACGATATGATTTCAAGTTATACATAGCGTTGTGTATAGTTTTTTTATAATTTATGATTTACGTACCTATGCATTCAACAATTGTTTTATTTATAGGTTGTTTTATGGACATTAGTTTGATAGAATTATGTTTACTAATAAGATTTATTGTTTCGATATTCTTTATTTCATATACTACTTTCAAAACGTTGCAATGTATATGTTTATATGGATACATACCCTCCTATAAGATAATATCTGTTTTAGTCGCAGTTCTATCCTTACCTACTATTCTGGTTTCGGCACAGTTCTGTTGGCGATTCGTTTTCTGTTGGGGTCACAGTTCTTTTCATTCACAGGTCACAGTTCGTTCTTAGCCTAACCTACTATTCTGGTAGCAATACTTATTTTGTCGAATTCTCAGTTCTAACCTAACCTTTAGCTATTGTGGTAGCATTTCGTTTCTGAAAATGACTCTTTTTCTAATATTGTTACGTTTCCTTTGAAATTTAATATCATAGAAAAATATGCAGAACGCCTATTATTCAAAGAAAAAAAATTATTTACATTAAAAATTAAAATTCATTGAATTGTATTTCTGATGAATATGTTTCATTCAAGTATTTCGTCGTTGAAACAATCATAATCGTTGAACAAAAAAAAATATTTAACACTTTCTATGGCACAAAATTCTATTAAATTTTTGTCTACGCACTAAGGTTAATTAATCTCTTATGACGATTTGCGTTTTAAATATCGAGTGATTTTTTATTTTTACTTTTGTGTTCAAATAAATATTATTCTTATTGATTTTAAGTATTTTCTTTGCTGTTGTTATAAAAACAAGTTCCTGGACCCTCTCCGTTGCTGTCAATTTGCTATAAAATTATTTTCAAGCGGCAGCTACGGCTATATTGTATTTTATACACAATTAAGTGTAGGTAAATAGGCGGAAATAGCCGATGGTTATTGAATAGGTCGAAGAAAATATAATTTAGTATCTATGTACTACATTATTTATACCCTATCAAGCTATTTAGATACTCCGGGCAAAAGTAATGTTCACCATTCTTTATAGGAACACCAATCATAAATTACTTTTATGGTGATTGGTGTTAGTTAACTTGCTTGACCCTTTCCTGTTTCTTTCCTTATTTTTTCTTTATTATTGTTATTTTTCTTTATTTTCGTATATATCACAATTTGCTATAAATTTCAAGCTGCTTTCAACAATATAGCCGTAGCACTTATTCATGGCTACGGCTATATTGTTTCTTACACAATTAAGGGCGGCTTGCGCAACATTTGGTCTAAACAGAATTTAGTTACATGTGTTTATCTTGCTAAATATGTTTTGCCTAAATACAATTAAAAAGGTCTTGCTCTCGTCCGTTTGGATGGTAATTTAACTAATCGTAGTTAGGGAGTCGGTAAAGTAGTTTCTTGCGTTCCTTTTTACGTTTTCGTGCGTTGAACACTTGACATAGAGCAAAATGGTTGCATTTCTTAAAAAAAAATGCGTGAAATGGACCGAGGAGCTTTCAACTGTCACATGTAGGGTATGTTCCGATATACACTGCGACCACTGAACAGTATGACGTCAATTTAGTATACTGGAAGCCCGTTCCTTTATAGCTAGTTATACTGGTGACTTTTTAAAACGGAACGCAGTCCAGTATACTGTTAATCCTATTTTTTGGCGCCATTTTCAAATTTGTTAATGCGAGGTGAATATAATATAAAGATTCCCTCTTTTCAAAAGAAAATATTATAAAATTGTGTATAAGAAATTATTTATCAATTAAATCCATCTTATAATAAACGTAAGTATTTTTTTTGTTTATTTAGAAACTTATCATTTTCTGATTTTGTTTCGACTGATCACGTGAAAAAAAAATGCGTGAAATGGACCGAGGAGCTTTCAACTGTCACATGTAGGGTATGTTCCGATATACACTGCGACCACTGAACAGTATGACGTCAATTTAGTATACTGGAAGCCCGTTCCTTTATAGCTAGTTATACTGGTGACTTTTTAAACGGAACGCAGTCCAGTATACTGTTAATCCTATTTTTTGGCGCCATTTTCAAATTTGTTAATGCGAGGTGAATATAAATATAAGATTCCCTCTTTTCAAAAGAAAATATTATAAAATTGTGTATAAGAAATTATTTATCAATTAAATCCATCTTATAATAAACGTAAGTATTTTTTTTTGTTTATTTAGAACTTATCATTTTCTGATTTTGTTTCGACTGATCACGTGATCAAAAGCACTGCGAGCATCTTACCTCAAAATCTCCAGTGCTCACAGTACAAATATGGCGGCAATTTATGACGTCATAAATTTCCCTAGGGTACTTACGCAGTGTACTGGCAGTCCATAACGGAACGGATTTTTCAGCAGTAAGACCACTGCGTAGTGCTCGCAGTGTATATCGGAACATACCCTTAGTCAACCGAGTTGTCAAGTCACACAAATTGTGTTGTTATGATTTGTAAATGTGGGGCTATTAGCTGGAACAAAATTATAGTGGTTTCTTTCGTTAGACGAAACCTTCTGAAGCATTTGTCGTCCGAATACATTCCAAATAAGTCTGCTCTCTCAAACAATTCCCCTCGGTCTGTTGATACATTCTATAATCTCCTGATCGTCGTCAGAATACAATTCCCACAAATCCATCGTACAAACTACCTAACGAACTTTTACAATCTTTTAAAAAATAATAGTAAAATTTCTATAACCTCAAAATGATGACTCGTGATTGCTACTAAACGTATTTAGCGACGCTAAATAGCCATCTTTGGTTATTTAACTTTGACAGTTCGTTAAAACGTGATTAGTGCCTAAATTTTTGTTGTGCAAGACGCTAATTATATTTAGCTGACTAAATGCGTTTAAGTCGATCTTAAACTGTATTTAACGACGATGCGCAAGCCGCCCTAAGTGTAGGTAAATAGGCGGAATTAGCCGATGGTTATTGAATATGTCGAAGAAAATATAAATTAGTATCTATGTACTACAGCTATTTTGATGCTCCTGTTCACCATTCTTTATAGGGACACCAATCATAAATTACTTTTATGGTGATTGGTGTTAGTTAATCTGCTTGATCCTGTCCTGTTTCTTTCCCTTCTTTTCCTTTATTTTCGTTATTTCCCTTTATTTTCGCCGGCCTGTGCAAATTTCCGGCTTGTCTCGATCTTCGAATCTTTATTTGGTAAGGTATAGTTACTAATAAAACTATTGTTGTTTCAGCAAAATTTACCGTGTCGAGACAAGGTAAACCTGCGCTTATATACAAAGGCTACACGTATAGAAAACACCAAGTGTCGAAAAGGGGTATACGATGGGCTTGCTCTAGCCACAAGCACTGCACCGCCTGTGTTCATACTCACGATACTTCAGAAACTGTCGTGAAAGAGGGTGGTAGACATTTCCATTAGACACCGAAAAGTGTTAGTTAGATATATATAAATTGAAAGTTTTTAGTGGAGTTCTGTTCATAGTATCGACAGATATAGGTAGAGCGGCAGAAGATTTTAATGGTGCAAGAGCATACCAGGAGTTCAGAACTTCAATTGTGATAATGTTCACTTTGATCAACTTATAGCTCAGCAATATTTAAGCGTTTTTATAAACTCTATTTACATGCCATAATTACATTGAATGCTTCCAGAATCGAGACCCAAGAGGTTAATTTAACTGCCTTACTTGAAATTACAGATGGGAGAATAATCTGTTTTTCATACAATATGTTGTTTAACATCATAATTATCTTAATGAAAAATGCTTAAAAAATCCACTATGTCCCTGGCACTCTGAGATGGAATTCGAACCCATGACTGAGCTACCCAGGACCTAACAGGACTGACGAATTTCTCAAGCACTTGTTGCTTTTCCGCAACTACAGAGCGTATTTTTACCTTGCTTTTGTTCTATTTATTTATTTTCTTAATGTTCTGATAATCCACCTTAACAGCTGAAAGATATATTTTTACAAATATTTAAACTTTCGATAAAGATGAAAATTGGTTCTAATTATTATATTTGAAAATTTACGTATGCAGTCAACAATTGTTTTATTTATAGGTTGTTTTATGGACAATAGTTTGATAGAATTTTGTTTACTAATTAATATCAAAATGTTTCAATGTATATTGATATATGGATACATACCCTCCTATAAAATAATTTCTGTTTTAGTCGCAGTTCTACCCTTACCTACTATTCTGGTTTCGGCGCATTTCTGGTGGCGATTCGTATTCTGTAGGGTCCACAGTTTTTTTCAGTCACAGGTCACAGTTCATTTTTAGCTTAGGCTAAGCTTAGGCAAATTAGTAGGTTAGCCTACTATTCTGGTAACGATACGTTTTTTGTCGAATTCTCAGTTCTAACCTAATCTACTATTGTGGTAGCATTTCGTTTCTGAAAACGACTCTTTTTCTAATATTGTTACATTTTCGTTGAAATTTAATGTCATGTAAAATATGCTGAACACTTATTATAGGAGAAATGAGACATTAAAATTCATCGAATTGTATTTCTGTTGAATATGCTTCATTCGAATATTCCGTCATTGAAACAATCATACACAGATAAAAAAATTTGAAGATTAAATTTTTTTATTTTTTTATTGAGGAACAAACAGTTTTATACACTTTATGAAAATTAAATATTAACAAAAAGTAAACCTACAGTTCCCTATATTACATTTTTTGTGATACATTTCAACCATTGAAGATAACATAAATAATTTAATAAATAGATTTAAATAGAAATATTATTTGAAACATTTTCTATGGCACAAAATTCTATTAAATTATTGTCTGAGCAACAACGAGACATCGTTTTAGTTAATTTCTTAAAGAGACTTATGACGATTAACGTTTTAAATGTCGAGTGATTTCTTTACTTTTACTTTTGTGTTCAAATAAACAAAAAATAAAATTATTTTTATTTTATTTTAAGTATTTTCTTTGCTCTTGTTGTAAAAACAAGTTCCTGGACCCTCTCCGTTGCTGTCAATTTGCTATAAAATTATTTTCAAGCGGCAGCTACGGCTATATTGTATTTTATACACAATTAAGTGTAGGTAAATAGGCGGAAATAGCCGATAGTTATTGAATAGGTCGAAGAAAATATAATTTAGTATCTATGTACTACATTATTTATACCCTATCAAGCTATTTAGATACTCCGGGCAAAAGGAATGTTCACCATTGTTTATAGGAACACCAATCATAAATTACTTTTATGATGATTGGTGTTAATTAACTTGCTTGTCCCTTTCCTGTTTCTTTCCTTTTTTCCTTTATTATTGTAATTTTTCTTTATTTTCGCCGACCTGTGCAAATTCCCGACTTCAGGACCAATTTTCTTGGTTATCTGGTAAGGTAAAGTTACTAATAAAACTGTTGTTGTTTCAGCAAAGTTTACTGTGTCGAAACATGGTAAACCGGCGCTTATATACAAAGGCTACACGTATAGAAAACACCAAGTGACTGGGAGGGGTATACGATGGGCTTGCTCTAGTCACAAGCACTGCACCGCCTGTGTCCATACTCCTCACGATAATTCAGAAATTGTCGTCAAAGAGGGTGGTAGACATTTCCATTAGACACCGAAAAGTTTTAGTTAGACACATATAAATTAAAGGTTTTTAGTGGAGTCCTGTTCATAGTATCGACAAATATAGGTAGAGCAGCAGAAGATTTTAATGGTGCCAGAGCATATCAGGAGTTCAAGACTTCAATTGTGATAATGTTCACTCTGTGATCTACCTAGAGGCCAGCAATATTTAAGTGTTTTAATAATTTTTTTTTTTTTATTTCGTAACAAAAATCTATTAATATGCCATAATTACATTGTACGCTTTCAGAATCGAGACCCAAGAGGTTTATGAACCTACATGTTTTAATAAAATCCATTTTTAAGTCTAAAAACTATTGTTACTTTCTCTATCGCCGCACGGTCATTACGAATGACCTGTGCATGTGTGTCCGAGAGTTTATGTGTGCAATGGATGCGTAACTAGAATACAGTATGAATTGAAAAATAAACAAAGACTTTGAGATGATAAACTGTAGAACTGACACGTTTGTCTGATCTGTCGCTCTATTTTTTTTTTTTGTCTTACAAATGTTCTATCGCTTCAATATTCTATGGCAATAAATGCAGTAAAATTAAAAGTACAAAACGCAAACCTTTTTTTTATCAAATGTCTATATAAAAAAAAGATTTTAAGGATTATGTTTAATATGATACCAAATCATAAAAATCTGATATTTTTTTTTTCAATCAGATACCGAAAAACTTTGCTTTAAAAATTAATTTAAATAAAAATTTGCACGTGCACACGTCATTTATTATTTTATTTCGAAGTTTTAAATTGTAACCACAAATATTGTTTAGTCTGCTGAGAACATGTATTTTATTTGAATATATTAGTAATAAAATGTAATTGATTTATTTATTTCTACATTTCTTTCCCCTAAAAACAATATTCACAGTTCTTAATTGTTATAATAGTATTATCACGTTGTTATAAAAGTGTAATAGGAGTATTATTACTTTAGTATAACAAAGAATATTTATTTTCAGCTAATGAAGAAATTACTGATTTGAAGCCCGTTTTCACCACATCTAAAAAGGGTAAACCAGTTCTTATTCTTGGAGGCTACAAATATTATCACAGTGGTACGAGTAACAGCAAGAGGAAAGAAACGCGATGGGTGTGCTTAAAAGGCATGGGTAGCGGGTGCAGGGCTATTGTGGTCACTTCCCAAGATCAAATCGTGGCCTGCATCAACGATCATAATCATGAGCCTTAAAAAGTTTACTGTTATCGAGGTAATTTTTTTTAATAAAAAATGCTTAAAAATCCACTTCATCCCTGGCGTTCTGAGATGGGACTCGAACCCATGACCTTTCGCTATCCGTGTGACTGCTCTAACCGCTGACCTACCCAGGACCTAACAGGACAAACGAATCCTTTGTTACTACATAGCGTATTTTCATCAAAGAAATCTTTATTAAAGATTAGCTTTCACCAGCGGCTTCGCCCGCGTGGTACCTAGGGAAATGTATAATAGGATAAAAAGTCCTATTATCTAAGTCAGCTAATACCCTATCTGTATACCAAATCTCATCAAAATCCGTTCAGTAGCTTCGGCGTAATTGAAGGACAAACATCCAAACAAAGAAAGTTTCACATTTATAATATTAATAGGATAAATCTTTATCAAAATTTTAAATATTTGTAAAAATATTTCTTTTGGTTGTTGGGTGGTTTGCTTGAACATTGATGAAAATACACTCTGTAGTAGCGTAAGTAACGAGCTCTCCGTTTTGTATTATTGTTGCACATAGAGTCATTAACGTGCGAGTGGTAAATTAAATCGAATTTGATTTTCGTATGAACTTCAAATTTTAATGTGAAGTGGAGAGCTAGTGGAAATGGGGCATAAGTAAATGAAAGGTAACAAGCACTAAATAATGGGTTTAAAATAAAAGCTTCCGCCAGCAGCTAAGCTCGCGTAGTCCGTTAGCTTTTTTATGTATGCTGTAAAGAATGAATAAACTTAAAACTGATTTTCAAAAAGTCGTTTAAGTCGTAGTATTGTAATAAAAAATATATTAACGAAAAACATTCTGCTTAATCACTTTAAATTTAATAAAGTCTTGATAACATATAATGATATTCATTGTGATTTATTTTAATATTAGTTCGCTTAAAGTAGAACGCTTCATAAACAAAATTATTAAGTATTATTTTGTTTTTAAATATAAAGAATTACTTATAATATTTGATTTGTTATTTTGTCCTTATAATTCGTTATATCACATAGGTACAGGCCCGCCCAATTAAATATGAAATGAAATACAACACATTGTATAAGCACATCGTATTTGCCAATTAACTACGGTGTCCATTATACAAAAACCGAATCACAAAATTTAATTTTTAAAATGACATAAGTTAAGTCTAATGTTGATAAAGTATGAATAAATTAACGATTTATTTATTTTGCATATAGCACATTGATACGTATGATAAAATACCTACTTAGGGTTACGTTTACAATAACACACATGTTAAAGTACCGATTATGGAAATAATCAGATGAAGTCACAACTTTAAATGTTAATTATAACCTCCCAAGCTTCGCTGGTTAAAGTTATCGTTTTACTATGTAATAATAATATAATTAATCCAGATGTTCAACTGATGAATTCTTCAGAATTACCACAAACATTTTATTTTCAGATCCGCTGACAGAAGTGAAGAAACCGATGTTCACATATTCCCAAAAAGGAAAGAAGAATATAATTATGAATGGTTATAAGTTTTATAAGAAGACAGACTCTAGAAGACCACAGAGTACGAGTAGAGCGAGATGGGTGTGCTCAAAAGGACTGCACATGGGTTGTACAGCTAGAATGATAACCCAAGATGACACTATAGTTGCCTGTCAGCCGTATCATAACCATAAACCTTGAAGATAATTGTTGTACTTACAAATAAATCAATGAATTGGTTGTAATTGTAATGTTTCTTTCAAATTTATTTTTGCGTATGTAAATCCTGTATAATCTTGTTATTTACCATCATAAAGGCTCTATGATCATGACGCTTGTAATTTAAATAAAAAATACAAGGACATGGCAGCAATCCCGTAGAAAACTATTGTTAATCATATTATAAAGGAAATCCATAAGGGTTGTTGATTTTGCTTTTAATAACCATTGATACATCTTTCTAACATATTATAATCATCATCGGTCCTTTTATCGTCTTTCCTGCCTTATGGATGGTTAAGGAGAATGCCCAATGCGGATTAGAGGGTATTAACAACTGCAAATGCAAAGGATCAATGGCTTAACGTGCCTTCCGAAGCACGGTGTAGAACTAGATTTTTTTTTATCACCCATCCCGTGATCGACCCTTGCGAAAGTCGATCGCTTAACAACAACGATCGCTATTTTCGGTGATTACCCACTACGCCACCGAGCTACTCTATATTACAACGTATATTATGCTCTTACCCTATAGGAGTGATGCGGAATCATAGATATGATTTTATATAAACAATATCGAATCGTGTTTGACAACTATCTGCAGAACTACCATATCTTTTTCAACCACTTTATACCGCTTGGGTATAAAGGCTCTATCTACTTTAGTTCTGTCATCTTTTTCGGTCTTGGACAATCACCAACCATTTTGTTCTTAATAAGAATATAATAATTATATATTTGCAGAAATACGATACAACATCAGTTCTTAACGTATATTTTATAGATGTGTCGATGTGCCAATAATTAGTCTTCATGGATATATAATGAATTCTCTATATAATAATATTATTTTATTGACACTGCAATCGAAAATTCGAATTACAAATTCAAAGACGATTCTATACATACGCACTTTTTAACGAATATACATAAAATTACAAATAAAACTCATTATAGCACCGCCACCTGTATCATAATAGTTATTTTTAACACCTTTGCTCGTAAAGCTGATGTAATTCCACCGGTTTTAAATATATAAAGCGGGTCATAAAAACGCGTGTGTTACCAAAGCAAATAGTTAAGTTATAGTCCATACAAATTCCATAACAGTATTATTTGCCAAAGGTAAAAATTATTTGTTAAAATTAAACGTGATATTTGAACATATTTTCGTGTCATACATTTTTATTTGAAAATATTCGTTCTAGGCTCCTTGAAATACTTTTGCCTCTAAAGTTTGACATATTTTCATCAATTTTTTAAAATTTCTATGGTGCTCGGCCAAAAAAAATTTAAAAAAAAAAACTTTTAAGCACGTTGTACACGTGCTTAGAAGTTTATTTTTAATTTTTTAAAGGATTTCAGTACATTTTTATTTAACACGTGTTTAAAGACTCACTTTCGGCGTTTACAATGGATTAAAATAATAGCGCTTTATGAGCAACTGCATTGAAAAATTCATTATGGTACCGCCAACTGTATCATAAAACTCATTATAGTACCGCTATCTCTTTTTAATCATTAAACTAGTCTATGGTTTTAGGCTGAATATGAAAAAAAGGCGCACGCATGCGCAGTTCGAGGTGTGAAAAAAATGGCGCCTTGTAACCTACCTACTTTGTTTAATTTTAATTTTTCCTATCAGTGAAGATAGTGTATGAAACTGCATATAACTTATGTATTTAAACACTCGAGTCAACCTAAACAGACTCTCGTGTTTTAATACCCCTTCTTATATGACAGTTGCATAAACTGCGAGTACTATTGTATGATAATGTTAACAATATTTTGTAAAAGATCAAATGAACATAATTTATACAAGTGTCCAATTTATGAATTTTTCAGAATTACCATTCGATAATTAATTTGTTTTCAGTTACGTTAGGCGAGGTGAAGAAACCGACGTTCACGTATTCAAAAAAAGGAAAGAAGAATATTATTATGAATGGATATAGGTTTTATATGAAGAATGACAATAGAAGGCCACAATGTACGGATAGAGCGAGATGGGTGTGCTCAAAAGGACTACATATAGGTTGTACAGCGAAGGTTATCACTATTAATGACAATGTTGTATCCTGTCAACTGTACCATAACCATAAACCTTGAAAATGTTTTATTTATAAATAAATTAATGAACTGATTCGAATAATATTTTTCCTTTCAAATTCATTTTTGTGGGTATAAATTCTGCATATAAAAGACGTCCTGAACAAGTGGTAGGGGAAAAAAAATTTTTGGACGATTCAAAAGTGCTTGTAATAGCCTACTTGAATAAAGATATTTTCATTTCATTTCATCGACGAAGTTATTTGCCTTTCTTTTTTAATATAATTCTTGTACTTACAAAATATACGCATATAATTACGTACTACTTAATTCAGTATTTGGTCAACATGCTTGAACCTCTGGATATCTATTTAACTATGTTATGTTATTTCAGAAGGAGTGATCAATTACGTCATATCCAACCGTGGTAACAGAATGATATTGTTGGATGGTTATACGTTTACACTTCGGAAAAATGAAAATGCAAAAAAACAAAGTTGGTGCTGTTCGAATCGCGTGAGACATCGCTGTAAAGCAAGAGTACACACTGTGGATGATGAAATAGTATATGCTTATAAAGATCATACGCATTGATACCTATGAAAGATTGTAAGGAGACCTACAAAATTCTTTACTCGTTTATGGCAAGAGCACAATCGAAACCAAATTAAGTTGATATGTATTAAGGCTAACAAAAATGGAAACATTTAGTATTGGCAGTAATTTTTAGTTTTTTCTTTTACTAAGTTTTTATTGAATAAAATATATAGGAGAAAATGTTATTTGTATTTCATCTTACCATATCCTGTAGCAGAAAGGATGACGCCTGGTGTTCCCATCCTTTATAAAATTTAAGTTATAAAGGGTTGTATAACAATATTGTTATAAAACACCCCTTATTATTATATTATTGTTAAAAGACCTGCTCGCGTCCGTAGGATTTACCACAAAGTCAAAGTCAAAATAATCTTTATTCAATTAGACTTCTTAAAGTATTTTGAATCGTCCAATATTTTTTTCCCTAACTCTCGTTCAGGACGTTTTTTGCCTGATAAGAAGAACGAGCAAGAAACTCACCAGTTCTAATAGTAGTAATGACATTTCCAAAAACCATGTCATTACCAGATTAATACTAATGTAATCATAGTTTTTTTCTCTATTTATAATTAAATGTATTAAAATTATTTATAATTAAATAGAGAAAAAAACTATGATAATATAATGATAACATAATAATTAAATAATATAATTTTTGAGATATAATTAGTTTAGAAGAAATCTCTTATCCAGTTGCTGGACCATTTTTAGTTCAAGTGTTCTTATCTGTTATATAATCGGATACCTTATAATAAGCTTTTTTAACAAGTATTTTTGTAATACTAGATTTAAACTGCATGATATCTAATTATTGTATTTTGCTTGGGACCTTATTGTAGAAGCGCACACAAAGAACGCTGAATGAGTTATTAACTTTTTGCAGTCTAATGACAAGCACCGTAATAGTTATTTATTGTATTAAAATTGTGTACATCACTTTTTATAGAAAACAAACTAATATTTTTACGAATGTGCATTAAGTTCTGGACTTAATGAGAAGCAACAGTCATTATCTCTATTTCCTTTAATTTCTCCCTTAAAGAGAACCTTATCGTAGGCTCCCCTACACGTGTCCCCTGCGTGGTACTAAATGAGCAACAATGCATCAGGCGGTAGTAATAACCTGATCCCGCAACACCACATGCGACGGCTAACAGGGGCTGCGAGGAATTAAACCTTTTCTAAAGACCCTGTGTATAGTGATGTAGGAAACCACTATAACTATTTGCCCAACCCTAATTATGAATATGAGTAATTAGGAAAGTGTTCCCAATTACTCATATTCATAGCTCATAGGCATAGTTCACAGGCTCATAGGCCTGTAAGTGATAAATTGACTACCGAAGAGACTTTGCGTTACTCAAGCCACTTCTACAGTGAATTCTACTGGTCTAAACAGCATAGGCTTAGAGTATCTTGTCAAAATAAAAGAAAAATAACTAGTTGTTCACCGCCACATGGCTATGATATTTCTGTTTCTAATGCTTATTTAGGCTTAAAGATAGACGAAGCACACCAACAAATCAAGATTAAACCTTGTTGTTGGGGTGGGTTGAAAATATAACTAAACTTTCTGACCTTGTAAAAACTGTGGTAAACAAAACTCAATATTCTTCAAAAAAGTTTTTAAGAAGCAACTCAGAATGACATGCAAAAATATAGAAATCTATAAAACACTAATCAACTTGGAATGGGAGCAATAACCCCTTTTCCACACATTCACGAAGAAAGATACACGACCATATAGAATTGTTATCAGGAATCTTCATACTATAACATCAATTGAATTAATAAAAGAAGCCCTAAAGAACACTGGCAATAAGATGAAAGGAGAAATCATAAACGAAAAGTATGGGCCTGATAAAATACAGTTATCCACTTTCTTTGTTAATGTGAAAGCAGGACTTAATAATGGAGCAATTAAAAATACAAAAAAATAGAAGACTCCATAAGAATAAACACCAATAGGCTGGAAAAGATGTCAGAACAATTTATGAGATGCTGTTAAATCCATTAGAAAACCTAAAACAGCGGAGTGCTCATTAAGACTTGAAAATAATCAATGGACCAAGACATATGAAGAGAAATCTGAGAGATATGGGTAATATTTATATGGCGTTTCCGAACGATAATAGCTGCAGAATTGAATCAGATATAAATGACTATCTGCTAAGTGATCTACAATTAAGTTTGCCCATAAATAGTACATCCGCTCGAGAGTTGTGGAAAATAATTAATAACTTAAATCTCAAGGAAGCACCACGCTTTGACCAAATTACTGCTAAAGTACTTAGAAAACTACCTAAGAAGGCTATTATTTTCCTAACATATCTTTT